TAGTGGGCAGATTAGTGCTGCAATCCTGATTTTTGACGGCATGATGTCTGGAGTACATAGTTTACAAACAACACAGCTGTTTATGGCTGGTTAAAACTTTAGAGAACAAAGCCATGTGGCCTACTGTATTTTATTATTATGAAATTATGTGATATATTACATGTACGGCATTTTATCGACCATCAGCCACCATGCATGCTCTTTTAGATATTCAAACTATTTTTTTTCAGTCCATCACCAGATCACCATCAAATAAATTTATATCAGACAAATCCATATATACACCATATATACATACACTACTGTTTAAAAGTTTGGGGTCAGTAGATTTAATGCTACAAAAGGTTTCTATTTCTATTTACAATAATTGCTGTTCTTCTGAACTTTCTATTCATCATCCTGAAAAAAAAAAGATCAGTTTCTACAAAAATATTAAGCAGCACAACACAACAACACATCGATAATAATAAGAAATGTTTCCTAAGCCCCAAATCAGCATATTAGAATGATTTCTGAAGGATCATGCGAACACTGAAGCCTGGCGTAATGACTGCTTTGCCAACACAGGAATAAATTACATTTTAAAACATATTATACAAGAAAACAGTTATTTTAAATTGTAATAATATTTCACAATATTACCGTTTTGACTGTTTTTGATTAAATAAATGCAGTTTTGGTGAGCATAAGAGGCTTCTTTCAAAAACATTTAAAAAATCTTTCCAACCCCAAACTTTTGAATAGTAGTGTATACTGCAATAGCAATAGAGCAATAGTCAATATCTAAATAGATATTAATCCAGAGTATGATATAAAAAAAGTTATATCAGCAGCACTAGCAGACACATTTAGCATTCAATTTACCTTGTGGCCCCAGGTTTAACCCCCAGCATATCCCAGCTGTCTTTGCTGTTGCGGATGCGTCGGATGGTGTCGGCCTGCTCTTTAGTAAAACCTACATTGACCTCTGAAGTGGGTTTCTTCCCTCCATTTTCACACATGTCAGTAATGGATGAGAAAAAGGCCTGTGGAGGTGGACACACATTAAATAAACAACAGTCAACAGAATGACAGGGCTGTAAACTGTAGAGTCGCGTGAGAGAGCACATACCTGAAACATTTCATTGATGCCTTCACCACTCTGGGCAGAAGTTTCAAAGTAATGAAATCCTCTGCTCTCGGCCCAAAGTTTCCCCTCACTCTCATCCACAACTCGTCTTTTCGTCAGGTCAACCTTTATTGGTGAGAGACCACACTTTATAACAGTCTCTCTCATGTAAATCACAGATTACACATTTAAACGCCAGAGGGACCTTGTTGGCACACACGACGAAGATGATGTTCTCCATGTTGGCCTGTGAGCCCATTTCCTGCTTCATCTCTGTGAGCCAGCTGTCCAGAGCGTCAAAACTCTCCCTCAGACCAACATCATAGACCAGAATCACCCCCTGAGAGTCCTTATAAAACTCATTGCGGACCTGTAAAACAAACAGCATCAATTCCCTCCAACATCAGACTCTCACAGCCATCACAAGCCAATAACCGGTAATCAATTTCTATACATGGCAACAAGAAAAATGCTAAACGCTGATGCCATAAGATTCTTCAGGGAGGACATCACATGGAGAGCAGCTCAATACTACCACACTGTGGTTAGTTAGATGTACTCATAGAGCAATAACAAAAAACAATTCTTAATTACATTGTGTAATAAAAAGAGACATTTGTTTACACATTTTTTAATAATAATTTGAAACACACTTAATCATGTGCATACACATACAATTATAATATAAATCAAGCAATACCTCATAAAAGAAAGGATGTCCAGCCATATCAAAAATGTTTACTTTTATCTCCCTATCTCGAACCTGAACCCTTGAGGTGAAGAAAAAACAAACAAACAAACAAAAAAATAATTTACCTTCCATCAGTGAATCGATCTAATTGTGCTTTATTAATAGACAAAACTGTCTTTTGCATCTAAAAATATGTGCCATTGCACCTATACTTGACAAAACAACCACTTCAATCATATGCTTGAAAACTATTATAAGGTTATTGCTTTTTTAATATTAAACATCCCTGCAAAATGGTAGATACACTCAATTAATTCATAAATAAATAATACAATTAAGTGATAATTAGGGCTGGGCAAAAAAAATCGATTTTTCGATATATCGTTTTTTAAAATGTGGTCGATTCAATATCGATTCTCGAAGGCCACGAATCGATTTTTTTTTCAATATTTATTTCCACAAACATTGAACATAAGATTTACGTTAATCTTATTACTAGTCTAATCCACTAGATGTCACCCCCTTATTTGCCTTGCGCGTTACACCGGAGAGTCCGTCATTCATTCATTGCTTAAAATGGCGGATTCAGGTTTTTCGAAAACTACTGCGTGCGACTATAAACATTTTTTTAAGAGCACCAGTGCGACTGACCCGATCATCATCATACTTGTGATTGCGCTCAGGGGAGCTTCAAATGTTTCTACGTGTTTTTGCAGC